AAAACATTTTTTTTTTTTTTTTTTTTTGAAAATACTAAAAACGTCCTCTATCGATTTCCATAGTCTATGTATAAACAAGCATAGAAAGGTCTGACACAGATAAGAACTCGGTTAAATTTTTTATCACTACCAACCAGATAAGATAATCCAACAAAATAATAATGATAATTAGTGTTAATTATTCCGGACAACGATATCCCTATTTATAAGTATAAATACTATCTTCTATTTTTCGCTCTATATCCTATGTACGGTCATATTAGAATAGCCTTTGGTATCTAGCAAGCAGGAATCTAATGGGTAAGGTTGCATGGAAAATAATAGGAATAATGGGAATAACAGATAGCGTTATAGCGTGAGGAGGACTCACTTGGGGCGAGCGGCGTTGGGTAGGTCGCGTGGTAGACGACACGCTGGGGGTTTGCGTGATTATAGTTCGCCATCGTTTTCCTCGCTCCGCCAATTACTGTCTTACCGACTACGAGATCCCTCTCTCTTTCATTCCTTCGTCTTTTGCTCCTCTCGCGTATTTTCCCTATATCGATACGTCTCGTGCGTATCTTCCTTATCTAAAGATACTTTTGATTCTTGCAGTATTCTCAAAGGACGGCGACGTTAATGGCGGTGAGAATTTCTCCGGTAGATCTCTTTCGTCTCTTCTCCTTTTCTTTTTTTGTTTCTTGATTTTATTTTTATTATTTTTATTTCTTTCGAACTTTTTGTTAGTTTTTTTTTCTTCTTTTTTTCCAACAATTCAAATCACCTTCAATTTTCCAGTTCGAAATTTTTCTTAACGATACGAGAATAACGAGGAGGTAATTCGTGTATGGGTGATATTATCGGCGAGGATTATCTGTCAAGAGACTTTAGTGCTTGGATACGGAATCGTTACAGACGTCGGCCTGTGCCTTTTGTCGCGTATGAAATTATTTGGAAATTCTTTAGGTTTAAAACGGCAGGACATCCCCAGGACGTAAGTGCACAGCCAAAAATCTTCCTATTTCGTTCCAGTTTCGTTTTTCGATTTTTTCTTTTTATTTCTTTGTACCTTCTTTATACCTTCCACTCGCCTTTCTCTCTCACTGTCGCTCTTAGCTGAATTTTTTTTTTATTTGGGTTTGCCCCTCTTTTTTTTTTTCGAAAGTCAAGAGTCAAGAGTTCTATGAAATGTTTTAGCTTAGTACATACGTCACACGTGCAGCTCACGCGTGTCAGGACGATATTATTATGACCCTTTCTTTTCCTGCTTACAGACTACTCTCTCTCTCTCTCTCTCTCTCTCTCTCTCTCTCTCTCTCTCTCTCTCTCTCTCTCTCTCTCTCTCTCTAATATTCCCTTTTTCCCCTCGTCCTTCGTTAATGTAAAAAAATGAAAGTCTCTCCTCACGTAAGTTTCTCCCTCGACCGTTCGCCTTCCCCGAAAAGGATAAATCCTCGAACGTCGTGTCCTTCGTCCTAGCTCCCCGTTCCCTCCTTTGAATTGTTTCTGCGTTCTCAGCTTCTTCGAAAATTCATCTGCGGGTCACCAGAAAATTTATCCTCGCGAATTACGGATGCCGCGGAGTAACGCAGGAGAAAAATTCCTCCGACGTTCCTTCCCCAACCCCCTTTTTCACGACTAAATTCGAATTTGACTTTTTCTCCCCCACAGACTCCTCCTTTCCCGTTGTCCTGCGATCAGCTGTATTACTGTTGTGCGCTCCGGAACTTTGTTCTTCTTATATCCTAAGTTACAACACTGAACCCGTCCCAGTTTCGGGACAAAATAATGTAAGGGTCACACGTATAGAAACTGAAAACGCTTCGCGACGTTTAACGTTTTAATTATTTGTTTTTGTTTGTTTCTTTTGTATTCCTTAAACTCGTTATTTCGTTTCGCTTTTACAGAAAATAGTTCAACTTTCTTCTTTCGCCCTCTCGTCCTCCTACTAATTCCTTCTCTTGCGCACTTCTCCCTCCTTCCTTTCCTTTTCCTTCCTTCCTTCCTTCCTTATCCCGTTCTTCTCCCTCTCTGTCTCTCTCTCTCTCTCTCTCTCGTGCTGCTCTTTCGAATAGATAGTCTCTTACGTGTTTCTTTTCTCTCTCTCTTTCCTTTATACACAGTAGTAGAGTTAGAAGTGTGTGTGTTATGTGTTATTTACAAATTTTTAATAAAATAGTTCAATAAGTTTGGCCCCGCGTGTCTGCTCCCGAGCGGCGGGAGCCGCAGAGTGAGCCAAGCCATGATATTCGAGGCGGCGTTCGGGGAACCCCCCTCCGCCGCCTCTAGCATCGGCAGGATCCCCCACCACCAGCATCGGCCACCACCAGAAGTCCAAGCTTGCAACCCCAGCCACAGCCCCGGCTGCCGACAAACCAACCCCCGGGTTCTGGCACGACACGGCATGCCGCCCCTGACGTTGCACGCCGTGTTCCGTGTAACGTAACCCGGCCGTGCTTCTCTTTTGGTTCCCGTGCGCTCGCGGAACGGCTACCAGCACGTAAATCCCGATTTCGATTTTTATTCCCTTGCCGATCCAAAAATTGTCCATCCAAGTTCAGAACCAAAGGTAGATGGAATCCCCTTGAATTTTTAAGGGTGGTGCTGCCACCTCACAGTGACCTCGCGATCCCGCGAAACGCCCCGCGGAGAAAAATCCCGAATACAAGTCAGCCCTCGTTCCCCCGTGCAGCCACGAATATCGATCGATTCAACCCCCCCCCCCC